TGGAATAACTTCTAAAATATTTGACAAAACAAAATTTGATCTGAATTTTGGTTTTTAGTGTTTGATGATAGTCATAAACCGTTATTATGCTGATTAGATCCACATTTTTTTATTACCAAGAGTATTTATTAATTGATCATATAAAAGGTAAAAATCTTGCAAGTGATAGCTATCTTATATATGTATTAATATGACTATTTAAGTTTTGCATACATGTGTGTGTGTGTGTGACAATTTCTAATGTGTATTGTGACAATTGATCTGTTTTTTTCCTTATTCTTCAATCTCATTATTGTTTTGTTAACTTTATGAAACGTCAGATGTTTCTAGGGTTATCTATAGTCTTGACCCTTTCTTTTTATTATTAGCAACAATATTGAGAGTTAGAGATCTGTGCAATAATATTGAAAATCGGAAATAAGATTTTCTAGTTTGTCTTTCTTCTGAAACCTCTAGCTTTTACTTATACTCTCTCTTCTTTATAAATAAAAGAGCAAATAAATTACAAAGAAGTAGGGCCACCTGGCTGTAAAGAGAAATAATAAATCTCATCAAACATCATGAACATCGCCTCAATGTCCATTAAAGAAAAAGAAGATAAACACTGATTAATTTAATTTCTTTACCTAATCGAGTCTATTTATTCATTATTATGTCTCCTCATCAAGTTACTTTTTTTCTTTTTTAACTTCTTTTCATGAGTTCATTAATTAATTAGTGTGTAACCACGGAATAACTTCTAAAATATTTGACAACTAAATTTTGTCTGAATTTTGGTTTTTAGTGTTTGATGATAGTCATAAATCATTATTATGCTGTTTGAGTATATATTAATTGATCATATAAACAGTAAAAATCTTGCAAGTGATGGTGAATGTATATATGTACAATAAAAATTCTCTACAAACATAATGGTATGACTAACTAATTTTGTTATTATTTAATATAATTAATCAAATAGTAATGTAAGTGATAGTTATCAAATAAAATGTAATCACATAAATAATCAAAATGGTTAGACTTCAAGAGCTTCCTGATTGGGATATCTTCCAAATCTAGACTCTATTTGAGCAGATTATTTGAATCAATTTATTGTATGACATCACCACTAAATTGTTAAAGGATTTATGTTTAAGTGTTCTATGAGCTTTAAAAAATAATAATAATATGTAATATGTAACTATTAAATTAAACTGGAATATAGAAAATATTACGTTATAACAAAGATACGACTAATAATGTGGTTTGATCAAATTACCTTTGTTTATGAGTAATGATGTTGGTTTATAATATTAGTTGATAAAACAAGAGTTACAAAATAAGGGTCAAGGATTTTCTCCGCTTGTTTATATTCTTAGTTGTCCTCGACTCTAAAATAATATAATAACATTCAATACTCAAGATTTAAAATTTACAGTTTTTATCTCCCATACTTAGAATAGAACTACTAACTATCATTGGGGTGAGATGATTTATTTTTTATTTCTCATTTTAGTTTTTCGTTTTCCATTTATTTTTTTTGAAGTCTTGATAAGTAATAATGAGAAACTTTTACACCAAATTGAAAAACGATTAGAAAATGGTGAAAAAAAAATCTTACCTTGGTGTGTTATCCAAAGCAAGAAAGTAGTTTTAAAGCTTTCCTATAAAATTAAAAAAAAAAAAAAAAAAACATTGAAAAATATAATAAACACTTATCTTTCATAAAATCTAGTTATTTATGTGGCAGAACTCTCGATATGTCATTAAATTCTAGTTATTTACATGGGAGAAATATAAATAGTAAATCCGGGCTAAATATTTTTAATAACACATGACCTAAGATGTCTAAAGCTAATGATATTAATATAACAAGGAGAGAATCCAAATTCAATAGAAACACTTTATAATTTTCAAGTCATAAACAAACTCAATCGACAATCAAATCCAATCTTGTAGAGAGTTTTAGACACAAGAGCACAGCCAGTCTGTACAAATTTTACAACTTTAAGGGGTTATAAATATAGATACTCAACACATTATTAAACAAGCAAAGCAAATTAACACAAAACATATCTTAACAGATCTAAAACAATGAAACATGTACAGTCCCACACAGCTTAACCAATTAACACCAATACATGAAATATTTTTTGAACATAAAAAGTTATTGCTTCCATCTTTCTTACCGTTAGGATTTTCATTCTTGATTCTTCGCCAGACTGCTAGCTTGTCAGGGTCAAAGGGAAAGTTTCCAAATTGAAACAGTGGCTAACCTCTGCATAATGAGAAAGGCATATCCTCTCCAAGTTCTGCCAGTCCAGGACTAAATTTGGCAGGAACATTAACGGAGACCCTCCAGGGTCCATTTGGAGTGCTACCATCTTCAGTTTCATCATCAAACACTCATTGGTAATGGTTGATGTCTCCGTCCTCAAGACAAAGATATTGCAGACTTGGAAGTTGCTTGGGATTTATCATTTCGGCAAAATTTCATGACGATAAGCTCCAGATAAAGCTGCTAAGGTTGGCGGAGGCGAAAGATGATCAGCCCATTTTGTTACTTTTGTTCTTACAATTTTCTGCATCAATAGCTAAAACCTTGAGATTTCAGGTTTGAGAAGCATTTTGTTGCCATTCATCGTGCATTTCACTCAAAATTTTCTTAATCGTAGAACTCTTAGCTCTCTCAGATACTGTAGCTCACGAAGCTGACAGCTCTTGGGTTAGCCTGACTCTCCACCCGAAATCTGACAGTTCCTGGAGATGAACTAGCTTCTCTAGTCCATTAGGTAGGTACTGCAGATTACAGAAACTTAGATCCAAGATAATCAATTTCTTCAAATTAGCAACCGACGGATTCTGTTGGCTAATCTTGCATTTCCTCAAAACAAAATTTGGAGTGTACGAAGCTTGAATTGAACGTGGTACTTCCTTAGGCTTTCACTCCACTTAAGTTGAGATGTGCAAGGCGTTTAAGGGAACAGATCCAACTCCAGAGACGCTCTATTTCGATGTATCCAGCTTATTGTTAGAGAAGTCCAACACACGTAGCGATTTTAGCAATCCCAAGCTATGTCAGAGGAAAATGATGGTTTGACATCAGTAACAATGCCCTCAACTTTGAACAGTTCTTCAATAATTTTGGTTTCATGTCAGCGGTGTGAAACCACCATCGAGAATCTTCTGCCGTTTCTGTTTGCCTTGTCCATCAAAGCTACAAAATGCCTCGTCGTTTGCAATCTTAATTACCATTTCTCGGATCAGATCGTGCATCTTGCAACTATAGACTCTCCCATCATAGTTTCGTCGATTCACAAAATCAATCAGGCATCTATTCGCTAGCTCGGAAAGTTTCATATCCCAATTCGGTTGCAGTCCATGAGTTCTTGCCCGGACAATACCCTCCAACCCACAATGTACTATTGTTCACCTGTATCTTAACGTCTTCAGGATAAACAGAGAAACACAGTAGACATGGCTTTAGATGAGTGGGAGTTCATCAAGCTCATTTGCGAGAAGCCATAACATTACTATTTTGTCTTGTGGCTGTCAATTCACGAAAATCTTGATAAATCTTTTTCCACTCTTTCAAGGAATCAACTTTCGGCGCAAGTAAGGTGCTATTGTCTTTATGCCATGGAAGCCCCCCACATTCTCCAAGATGTCCTGCCCACTCTTTCTAATTGCATTGGAGCATTGTCCCCTGCTCCTGGAAAATGCAAACTTGCAGAACAATAACCAACTTTCCTCCTCATTCAAAGTTCTTGGTCGATGAATCCGCGAGTTGTCAACCCCATATTTTTACAACATCTTCATTTCTTGATGTGATGATAAAGAAACTGCTTTCACTGCAAAAATTCTTCCACCACAAGATCATCCATTCTCCAGACAAGTCCATAACAACAAGACACTTCTTATCACGAAGTATACGGCGAATTTGGGGCAACGTACTACTTTCATCAAACCCAGCTCCTCCAATACCTAACTGTTTCTCATGATCGGCATAATCCGTTCTTCGCTGAAACTCTGAGAAACTGGCACCCAAATCATCTTCTCAAAGTAAGCAACCACGTCTCTATCATTGAAAATTTTCTGGGCAATGGTGGTTTTTCCCAAACCCCCATCCCACAATTCCAACATGGTGAAATTCCTTATTATCTTCACACACCCTTTTATCTTTCAATGTCATCCTCCAAACCGATGTACTCAGATGGGTATAATACTGTGAGGAATTTTACTATTGATGCTCATTATTTTCCCTGTTTGTTCTCAATTCTGGTCTCAAAAACGAGCTCATTGTTTTCTCCATCTCTTGAAACCGTGAGTTAATAAGGTTCAACTTTTTGCCTGTTCGATACTGGAGTGCAGTGACGAGGCGATAAAAGGAGCAAACTGACCCATGTTTCCGGTACTCATCTCTAAGTAGGCAATCTGTGAGTATGTCATCGGCTTCATAAATAATTTTTCTAACATTAGGCAAAATCCTCTGGGCAATTTCCTGATGATGAGTCTTGGATTGTCAGTGGAGGAGGAAGGCGTCATAAGCTCAAGCTTTGTCTTCATTATTTTAAACTGATCTTTAAATCAAGTGCAAACTGAGCTTGATTAATCAAAGCCCTGACACTTCATCTGTCAGTGTTTGAATCATAGCATCTGTCGCCATCACTTCCCCTAACTCTATCTGTATAGTCATGATCAAAATCGTGACAGTAAATTAATTATGATGACCTTACTGAGGGAAATTCTCTCTCTTTTTTTTTTTTTTTTTTTCAAGTTATGAATGGATGTGCTCACTTTGAACATTGTTGACTAGAAATAATATTCATTACCATAGGAAATCAGAGAAACTCTCCAGATAGAACAGAACTGAATCATTTTTTTATTTGACTGCATAAATGAAAATTTTAAAATCTAGACTAATTTTTCATTTAGAAAAACTACTCAATCACAGAATCTCAATTAAATTTCTTATCCTAGTTCCCAGATACTACAAAGTTGTCATAACAGTTCACCGGCATCAAAAATCTGATTCAGTTAAAAACTCAGGATGTGTGCATAAGAGATTGATTGATGATATACTAGTAGGATTTGTTTATTTATATTATTCTTAGCATCCATCAAACACAAATGTGATTTATGCTGCGTGTAGATGGATAAAGAATTAAATTATTCAAGTTTGAAAAGTTTTTTAGGTACTATTTTCACACACACAAAAAAGGAGCTTAGCTATATTTAAAATGGCACTTCACAATACCTGAAGTTTCCTAGAACTTGATGGGAAGTATGCACAGAGCTTCCGAAATCGAAAACTTTTTGCGGACTGGCTTATTTCTTGCAAAGAGAAATAGAATGTTGCCAAGAACGAATAGATTGCCAAACAAATTAATTAACAATGTACCTCTATGCAAGACAGCTTTGAATCATATTCTCTCGGTTGAATAAAGAAACCATATAAAAACTTGAGAATACTACTTTTCTTCTTGCATGGTGTGAAGAAGCAATTAAAATTAAAAAAATAAAAAATAAAAGAGAGAAGGGACAGGCTTTGAAAGGAAAGCAAAGAGCCTGACAAACATTAGGATAAAGGGAAGGGAGCCCAATCAAAAGATACATTATAACAATCAGTCAATTGATGATGTGAGATAAACTCAAACATGGCTCAACTTAATGTGATTTGATACTAAATAAATGAAATTGGGTAGAAGTCACTTCCAAAGCCAGCTCAAGAGAAAGAAGACCTACCATATATATACTCTATTACAGTCCACATTCTGGCGATGTTTCTATGGACTCGCCTTGATCTTCTTAAATTCATATAATAACTCCATTTTTAGAAATTTTCGTTCTTTTTCTTTTGCGTTTCGAATAGAAAATTATTGAGTTTGTGTAATGGACAGTATTTCTTGTTTGTCCCACATGATTTATTAACAGCGCTTAGATGATATGATAATAGGTTGAGAAGTAGCTGAGATCAAAACTTGTTAGACTTGAAGTCTCTGGAACGAGTTTTTAAACTTGGAATTGCTGGAACCAACGAAAGATAGAGGTGATGAGGCATGAGTGTTCTTTTTTTTTTTTTTTTTTTTTTTCTTCCTGTAGATTGGCGATGGGTTTGATTGACATAAAGAATTGATATAGTTGTTTTTTTAAGTACATTTGTATATTTACAATTTAACACCACATAAGATAAACATTGCTTGGGATATTACTTGCTTCTATACATAAAATAATCTTTATGTTGATAGATAGATAACTTTAACAACTTTTGAGCTGTTTCCAGAGATCATTCCACACCCATAGAAAAGAACTTACTTAGCGATTTTAACTTTCAAAAGAACGTACCAAAATTTTGCAAGTAGAACCTTGATCGAGTGTGTGCCAACTTTCAGTCTGGAGAACAGACACATCTGGATCGTACGTATCTGGTGAACAGAGAAAAGTTTGATGGATTTAATTCATGGAAATGGATATAGGGATGTTAAAAAAGGAAGAAAAAAGTAGGATTTACTTCTAAGAAATGAACTGACCTGGAGTTGAGATTTTGTGTACAAAGAGCAGCTTGATCTGCAAGTGAACTCTTGGAGAGAAGGACAGAATAAAAAAAAAAATATGATAACTTCGTATTTGTAATTATTCCTCCGAATTTGCAGGTCTGTGGGGTCGTCTATCCAACCAGGCTATGAAGAAGCATGAATAAATCGTGTATGGTAATCCCAAGTTTCAACTCCTTTTGAAGCCTGGGATTATACTCCTGAAGGCTACTTTTGAAGGATTGTAAAAGCATAGGCTTGCAAAATTATCACAAGTAGTCAAGGGGCTGCTTAAAAAATAGTCATGGTATTATTAAAGTTGATGACGTCGGTAATGGGTTAGTATGATGACATCATCCATGTGATATGATTAGACACGGCTCCTAATCGAAAATTTCTGATCGTATCAAGTTCCCCACATTAAATCTGAAGAGTATCAAGTTCCTTTCCGACCATGAGATGCCGTCAATGAGCCGTTACATGGTAAAGGACAATATCTGTTACTATTAAAGTTTACATTTTCAAAACGGTGGAGCATTAAAGTTAAGTCTTTTGTGCGTTTTGTCCACTTTCTAAATTGAGGTCATTGTTTTAAAACTCGGCCCGGCCTGGCCAATTAAACCGGTTCAACTGGGACCTGTAGCCTTCATCAGATCAGGTTACAAAATTTCCTGTTCATTGAAAACCCTAGAAATTAGGATATCAATCCGTGAACAATTGAAGGTTGTAATATTAGGGCTTTTGAAGAGGAATAGCCTGTGAATGCAATGGTGGCAACGACGTCGATTTTTGGTAAGTGAATCGACCAAATTTTGCAAAAACAATGTCACCGAAAAAATCCCACTATCGCCGGTGATTGGGGAGGTAAACGGGGGAAGAGTGAGATGGGTTTTAGTCAAGAGACTGAGGGGAGTATTTTTGTGGTGATGGGAGAGTGTTGTTGTCGCTAGAAACAGGCCCCATGTGCCGACGCCGAAGATGTGTTTGGGGTGTTTTTGTTAGATTTCAAGCCTATAAGGACTTATACAGTTTTTAGGGCCCGTTTGGATGGGGGTAATATTAGATAACTAGGGTAATATTTTTCAAATTGAGCAGATGACGATGTTTGGTTGATTTGTTAAAACTATTTTCGAAATCTTTTATGACAAACAGTGGCATTTAGGGGCTAAGTTGTCGGGAATATTATTACCTTGGGGGGACTGTTATTAAAACTTACCCAAAGTAATAATTTTTGTGTCCCATATTGCCCCAAAGAAGTTGAGCATTTGGTCCAAATTAGCTTATATTTATTAAGATTTATAAAATACCTAATTCAGTCATACAGACCCTTTTGTCCTCACTTTTTAAAATTTTTGGATGACATTGCTCTTGTTATTGTCATTATTTATAGAAATGCCATTGTACCCAAAACTAGCCACCACTGCCAGCCACCTTTGACCATCACTGGAGGCTTCCAAAAGTCTCCATAATGGCGTACGACCAGCCTTATATGGCCGGCTGTGACACGACCCGTCCCGAATTTCCTCATCCCGTAGGATCCGGGCGCTCCCACAAGACTCGGATACCCAAGACGTGTCATGTAGAAAAACTGTGAAACCTATTAGAAGACCTACTTTTCCTGAATAACATCATAGTATTTTCATTTCCAATATCTCAAAAAAAAGACATGTATCCTCCTTCGTTTTACAAAAGAAAAGAGTTAAGGAAAATTTGTGGTATCAGATTTTCCACTTATACAACACGTTCCAAAACATAAACAAAAGGAAATACATGATGGGAAACATGAGTTTTCTTTTGAAACGAAAGTCCAAAAATGCACTACCACATAAATGTAAAACCCACATGAAACGATGTTGATGCGTGGCACAACCTTGAGCGGTGACTCACTGCTCGGCATGATCTCCCTGTAAACCTGAGGGGGGAGGAAAACATTTTTTTGAAAAGGGGTGAGCTGAAATACTCAGTGAGTGGGGGAAAAGGGGAGGTTTGCAAAACATTCGTCAAATAAAAGTTATGGCGTGCAATGGTCCTTATGAAATACTGAAAACAACATGATTCTATGAACATGATATGGTGGTAGCTAAACATCCTGTATGCATGCATAACTCATTTCCAATCATTCTAAGTATTATAATATGATCAATTAAACTGACAACAATTTCTGAATCCTAACTCATCACTAAATATTGAAAACTCTTTTATGAGAACTTAAAGAATAGCTGTAAATGCTCATGCTTCTAAAGACAATGTTTTCTATGAATCATGCTACAAACACCAACTGTTTCATATAGCTAATGCAAACTATCCATCATATACTGAAAACTGAACTATTAACTGATACTGAAAACTGCAGGCTGATATCTGAAAACTTTAAACCGATATCCTGTTTGGAAACAGTAAACTGATACTAAAGGTTCTCATGCATGTGATTCTGAAAATAACAACTCTACTAGTCATGCTGTAAACATCCAAACCATCATTCAATGAACACTCATGATTCACAAGACAAAATCTGGTAACTAAATTTATAACTATTGTGATGATATAAAATTGAAAACTGATTTTTCTGAAACTATGCACTGATAACTGATTTTGGAATACTGTAAACTTTATGATGATGACTGAACTTTAAATTGGATACTGTAGCTTTTACTGTTACTGAAAACTATAAGCTAATATCTTATTTCGAAACTGGGGCTAATACTGAAGGCTCTCTTAATATTATGAAAACTCATATTGAGACTATCGCTCATAACTGATACTCAAAACTAAATGTGATTTTGAACATTCTAAAACTGATTATGATATTAATAACAGAAAACCCTCACCGCAACTAGTACCCTGGGGGAAAAATCTCGATACCTGGTGGGCATCCCACACACAGGCAGAGCTGGGAAAAACATCTCAATACCCGGCAAGATATATCATCGCGCGGGCAAAGTCTGAAGAAAACCATCTCAATACCTGGCGGACAAACTCAACACCCAGGCAGAGCACTAAATATCTCAATACGCATGCGTAGAGCCTGAAGACCAAAATCTCAATACCCTGCGGAATCCTGCATCGCGTGGGCAGAGCCTGAAAACTGGGGGATGGGTACTTCGTAGGGTGGTTTTAGCACCACAACATACTCATGCATAATCTCATGTAACATGTAAGTCAAGAGTATATTACGTATGTGCTTATAAATCATACATATATGACATAATATTCAAAAATCGCATATAGGGGTGAAACTACAATTTTCTAAACATGTTTCAAAAACTGACGGTATAACCCAGATTAAAAATTCCTTCAATATCACATGATCTTAGCATATAACCGATACAAATCATAAGCAAATATCACTTTTAAAAGTCAAAACTCATATAACAAGTTATAATTATAATTAAACCCAAGAGCAAAAATAATAATAATAATAATAATAATAATAATAATAATATAAGAATATTTCATATAAGGATAACTCATGCCAACATATGAGATTTCATGGAAAAAAGGAGGTAAAATGCAAGTTTTTGAAGCATACTTTCAAAACTGACAAAAAGCACCCCATTTGCCCTTTTTACCGAGAATTATTTACCAACATCACAAATCTCAGTCCTTTCTTTCATATGCTGTCCAGTCAAGCATGCAGTTTAATACCCAGCAATAATTTCATCAAAAACACTTAAAAATTCAATCAAGCACTTCAAAGATTCGTCCAAAAACATGTAAAAGAAAACAATTTAAGCAGTCTTTACAAAATAACAAGGCTCTCAACAAGACATTAATATACAAACATAAGTCTTGTGTTTTTAGGAAAAATCTGGTGACATGCAACACAAATCAGCTTTGTTAAATTCAGATCTGAGACACTTTCACTCAAAATTTTGCTCAACCGGGACATGCTAAGGTAAAATGTCCAGCCTACATCACAATTTAGTCAAACAACCGAATGCAAACAGGTGCAGCTAGCAAGCAAAATACACTCCATTTTAAGCACCAAATTAACCAACCAAACATTCATCCAAAAGCATGGAAAGGAAAGCAAGTTCAGCAAGCTTCAAATTCAGCTCAAAACTCATCAAAAAGCAAAAATGGCCAACTATATTTAACATGCAAACATAAATCTGAATTTTTTAAGAAAACTTTCATTTGATCCACTCACTATTCTAACTCAGCCGAAGCTCCCTGCACTTTGAATAAGAAATGAGAGATCTACTTCCCAAGCTGCATGCACGAATAACCAGAACTTGGGTTACAGCCAGTCTGCTCTTCTTTTCTCCTTCCACTATTTTTCATTTCATCTCCTCCATTTCTCTCTCACTCTACCATTTTCAGCCGAACCCATTCTCCTCACTTCTCCTTTTTTTTCTTTTCTTCTTCTTTCTTTCTATCCTCTCTCTTATCTTTCTCTCTTTCCCCTTTCGTTTTCTCTTCTCTCCCTTTTTTTTTTTTCTTTTTCTGCTATGTTTTCGCTTTCTCCCTCAACTCTCATCTTCTTCTTCTTCTTCCTTTTGGGCGAACAACCCTTTTCTTTTTCTTTTTTTATATTTTTAATCTTTCTAAATTTATGCTTCTACCCCTAGATTACAGGTAATCCCGCTAAACCCCTACCACATCAGCATTTCTTTCAAATAAACCCCCAGATTTTGCCCTTTGTTACATGCAAACCCAACAGCTTCCTTATCTTGCAATTTCATTCCCAATAAAACTTTTAAAAACTAACAGAAATCCCCTTGCATAAAAATAAAATCACACAGAATATGTAATATGTATTAGGATTAAAAACGGGGTTTCACAGGCTGTGTGCCGGTCAGGCCTTTTTCGACCATGGATCTGTAGGAAATGGCCAGGTTTTTGGCCATGAAATAGCTAGTGTTTCATGCCTAGATCTGTGGTCGTTTCATGGCCACATCTTTGGCAATCTATGGCACTATCGATGTCACAACCAGATTTGCGGCACTTTTGGTAGTCGCTGACAGTAGTGGCTGGCTGTCGATAGTAGCTTGGGGTGGGTAGGTGTTAGAGTCATGAATGTGACTTTATTTTGGTGATAAAAAGACCTTATGTGTGATTAAAATGAAATCATTTTGAGGTAATTAAGAAATTTAAGAATTTATTCACGAAAAATCACATCCTAATGTTTTCTTATGAATTTAACATGTTTGAAATGATTTTGGAAATGGTATGAGTTGATATTAGGTTGTGGTTTATGGATTATCGGTGATTTTGTCTCATTTATGCTATTTAGGGGGTGAACTGTCA